GACTCCTTCTGAGGTCTTATTTTGGGGGAAGGGGTTGGCTGGCATTCCGTCCTTCTAAAAAGTGTGTATCATTTTTTTTTTTTTTAATGGGTCATGCAAAACACACGGTCACTGTAGAAACTCTGAGTAATTCGGACAAGCACAAATAATGAAAGCACCCATAATCCCACCCTGCCTTCCACCCTGAGGGGACCATGGTCAACATTTTGGTGTATTTTCTTCTAGGAGGTTTTTTTTTTTTTTTAATTACTATTTTAAAGTAAGCTCTATGCCCAACGCGGCACTTGAACTCACAGCCCAGAGATCAAGAGTCACATGCTCTACTGACTGAGCCAGCCAGGTGCCCTGTGTTCTAGGACTTCTTAAAAAATCTATATATCCATCCACCCATCCATCCATCCAGAGAAGCAAAGTGGGAATCGTGCAGTGGTTAGTAGCCTGCTTTCTCTATGTCTTAAAGCCGCCTCTGTATCATCCCCCCTTTATGGCTAATAGTATTCCATCACACAGATGGGTGTCATTTATTAAACCATCCCTCACTGTTGAACATCTAGGTTGCTTCCAATTTGCTGTTGCGAACTGCCATAATGAATGACCTCGAACTTGCAGCCTTGTCATGTACAAGCACTGTAGGGCACTGGATGACCTTCTGGAACCTTCTATTAAATATTTATTGAGAGTCTATGAAGTGCTGTGCACCAGATGAGGCTCAGACCCTGCCCTGGAGGACCAACCATCTCCCCTCTGCTGTCCTGCCCACTAAGGGTCCCTGCCTCCCTCTACTCCAGGGACCCCAGCCCCCAGCCCTCAGAGAAATCACCTCTAAGTGGATGTGTATGACAAATTTAATTCCCCCTTCTGTATCGTACAAAAGTTTCTTGCATTTTGTACAAAAACCCAGGCCTCTTTTCCCTTCCCTCCCCACCCCAACACGAAAAGTAATTGTTTAATAAATAATATATGCTCCTGCCTAGGCCCAGAGGCGTGGGGAACAGGGAAACACTGTGGCCAGACGTCTTAGAGATTCAAGAATCCAGGACTCCAGTTCCCTCACCCTTTGGTCCCCAAGCCCACCCACCTCCCACCCACGCCCTTAAATAAATAAGTATAAATAAGGCACAGATGCCCCCCCTCTTCTGCCCAGGTCTCCTGGAGGGACCGTCTCTAATTAGGGGGAGAAGAAGAGGGGGGTATCTCCTGACCTCCATGCCCCTAGTCCCCAAATAAATAAATAAATAAGATGTGGCATCGAAGGACGTTGGCGGTTCTGTGTAGCTGGTCACAACCGAGTCTTCAGCAGCAGCAAGCCCCGCACGGCCCAGTCAAGGGTCAGGTGCAACCCCCCAAGAATGGCGTGGGCTGCCCTGATGCCTCCCCAGGCGGAGGCTGGGGGGGCCAGTGGGGGAGCTGGTGGGTCTGGGGGTGCTTGGGGTAAGGCCAGGCGGGACATCTGTTGGGAGAAGACAGAAGGTTAGCAATGGGTGGGGGTGCAGTGGGGGTCCCGGGAAGGGCCGTTTGGAACCTGGGAGTCCAGGCTGCATGTTTCCGGAGGGTCTTTAACCTGCAGGGTAGGGTTTCTGGGTGGGGAGTTCTCAACATGTTGGGTTCAGAAAGTGGAGGCTGGGGCCAAAAGGTGGAGGTCTCAAAGCTGGAGAGGGCCAAGCTCAGGGGATTGAGGGGTGAAGTCTATAGAGTCAGGGCTGGGATCCTGATGCTAGGTGAGCGCTGGGGGCTGTAGGCTCAAGTCTGGGGTCAGGTCCAAGATCTTGGGGCTGGTGTCTTACATGTGGGGCCTCTAGGATCCAAGCTCAGGGACTCGTGGGTGAGGGCTGGGGTCTCAGAACTGGGAGCTGGAATTTGAGGTCCAGGGTCTTTGTGGTCAGGCCTAGGAACGGGCAACTAAAGTTTTCTGATCTCAGGTTCTTGGGTCTCAGGTTTTGGCGGTCAGGGTTTGGGGGTCTTAAGGGCTCACAACCAGCATCTGAGGTCTTAGAGACTCAGAGCTCAGGATCTGGGGTCGTCTCATCCAAGATCTCAGGATCTAGGCTCTTGAGGTCTGGAGTTTGCAGAGTCAGGGTCTCCAGGCTGGCTTTGGGTCAGGGTCTGGGAACTCAAGGGGGCTGGGGGTCTCCGAGCAGGCCTGGAGTCTGGGGTCCCAGGGTCTCAGGTTTCAAGTCTAGGTATGGGGCCTGGGAGCTGCGAGGTCGTACCAGGAGCTGCAGCCGGCGCAGCAGTCTGTCCAGCCGGGCCTGCAGGGCACCCAGCTCCGGCTCCAGGGTCCGCAAGGAAGGGCCGCCCGCCCGCCGCAGCCACTGCACGTGCCGCAGGTAGGAGAACAGGTCTGCCCGCAGCCGCGTCAGCACACCTGGGAGCTAGGAGGCAGGGCATGGGGGGCATCACGGAACACCTGGCACACGCCTGCTCTGGCCCCCAGCCCCCCTTGCACCCTGGCCACCGCCCAGCTCTCACCTCTGCCCCCTCTTCCCCTTCCCCTCCCCTTACCTGTAGGGCTCCCAGCGCCCCTGCACTCATGGCCAAGGTGGGAAGAGAGTCCAGGTTGTGGTCCCCGTCGGCTGGAAATTTGTCTCTCTGTGGGGAAAAAGAAGCCTTGAGGGGGACCCTGCCCAGCTCCAAGGGTCCCCCCATCCTGCAGACAGGCCCCAGACTCCCCCCTCCCGCTGTTTCCCTGCGAGCCCAGAAGCCCTCCACGCTCCGGGTCCCTGTCCCAGCCCAGCCCCCGGCAGGCTCTCCCACCAGCTGCGCAGCAAGCTGTCGAGTGTCCGCCAGGAGAGAGCGGGTCAGGAGGACGGCGCTGTCCAGCTCGGCCCGAGGGTCTGGGGAGGCCCGTGGGGGGCCCGGCGGTGGCCCCGGGGCAGCAGCTCTATCCGGCCACAGGCTCAGAGCGACCAGGACCAGGCAGCAAACACCTGGGGGCGGGAGAAGGCAGAGAGAGCTCAGACCGGACTGGTGGGTCCGGGGGAGGAGGGACTGGGGGTCCCGAGTCCCGGGGTGGCGCGCCCAGGGCAGGTCGCAGGCCCGGGGCGGGCTGCCCTCTCCCTCTCCCGCTCTGGCTGCCCCGCCCGTCGGAGCAGACGCGGCCCGGGGCGGGTAGACGGGCCGGGCGTCTCCCGTCCGCCCCCGGACGCCGGAATCTGGGCCCCGGGGCGGGGCATGAGGGGGGAGGCACAGGCCAGAACCTGCCCCCTCCCCGGGCCTCGGGAGCCCGAGCCGGACTGAGAGCGGGGCAAGGAGACCGGGACAGGAACCCGGAGGCCCAGACCCGTGCCCAGGGGGACCGCGGAAGGCCGGGCCGTGGTGCCGGGGATGCCCCCGGGGCACACCTGGGCGGAGGGACGCAGAGACGCGGGCGCAGCGGGGACGCGGGAGGCGGACAGGGACCCGGCGGCGGCGCGCTCCCCGGGGGCTCCGGCCCGCTGGTTCCCCGGCAGCCCATCCCCCAGCCGCCCCGCCCACCCTCGCGCCCGCCAGCCAATCAGCGCCCCCCGGGCCGCCTCGCTCCCGCATCACACCCCCAGCCCGCCCCCCGGGCCCTCCCCGGCTGCTGTCTGTCCGTCGGTCCGCATCTGTCTGGCTCTCCCGTTCCTGTCTGCACCACTGTCTCTCTTTCTCTCCTCCCCCTGCCTGGGGGGTCGGCGTTCGGGACTTGCGCTCACCTCCTCGGGCTCCCTGCCTCAGTTTCCCTCTCGGAGCCCTTCTGTCGGGATGCCCGGGTGTCTGCCGACTCCCAGGGCGTCCCGCGCTCTTGGGGGTCACCTCCCGGCATTTGTCTGTCTCTGTCTGTATGTCTTCATGTCTCTCGCGCTGCCCTGTCTCCGCGTCTCAAATCCGTCCTCCTGTCTCTGCCCGTCTCTGCTCCCGGCCTCCTGCTGCTTTCTCTGAATCTCCTTTCCTGTCCTCCGTCTCTGCCTCCCCACGGCTCCCTCGCTCTCCTCTGTCTCTCTCTGTCCGATTCCGCTGTGTCTGTCTGCTCCCCACCCTCCTCGCCGCGGTCCCTCCCTCCTCCCTTCCTGTCCCCCCCCCCCCAACCCTATGAACTTGAACCAACTTACTGTTCATGTCCCCACAGGGCAGGGATTCCCCAGGGCAGGGGGCAGGGAGCTGGGGGCCTTTAACCCTTCCCTGTCCGCTGCCGGGGGGGAGCCCTGGGGGTCAGCTGGGCCTCGGCCTGGGGAGGGGAGGCATGTGCGTGTGAGCAGCGAGGGCCGTGGCAGTGAGGGAGTGTGGACGCCTGGGGGGTTATATAGGGGGCCAGGGCGGGCGGGCGGGGGGCAGGCGGCAGGGGAGGGCGGCCTGACACATCCTGACTCACCCTCCCTGCCTGCCTTTTCCATTCAGACGGAGCCGGCTGCCTCGCAGGGCTCACGCTGCCTTGCTCAGAGGAGGGCACGGAAGGAAAAGTTGGAAAAGTTGAAAAGAGAAAGGGGGGGGGGGTGGTCGGAGAGGGGCTGGTGAGGTCATTGGCGTCCCCTCCCTCCACCTCCTCGGCCGGCCGCCGCAGGGGCAGACACACACGGCGCACAGGGCTGGGGCCCGGCCGCGGGCAGCGGGCGGGGGTCCACAGGACCAGGACTGGCACTGAGGGACACGGAGAGCTGGGGATGGGGCCACAAGACGCAGGATGGGGAGGCAGAGCGACCCCGTGGGACGAGGAATGGAGAAAGAGAAGGGGACGGAGTTTGGAGACCCAAGCAAGGAGACAGAGACACTTGGAGAGATGGGGACATTGGGGCAGAGACAGATCCTCTGAAAGGCAGAGATAGAGAGACGGAGACACTAAGGAGATACACTGCAGTCGCAGAGAGACCCCAGGAGGAAGAGGGACAAAGTTGCAGTCACAGAGGGGAGGCAGGTTGCAGAAGAGATACAGAGAAAACAGAGGAGCAGGTGACAGAGCTGAAAGGCCCCAAGAGGCAGACAGGCAGGGGGACAGACGTGCTCAGAGAGACAGAGGTGCTGAACATTGAGGACAGAGAGGGGCAGGGCCTTTCCCCAGGAGACAGGTAGGGATGTGAAGGTGGGGAGAGAAGCAGAGATGGAAAGGAGGTGCGGTACCCCTCTGTGCCTCAGTTTCCTCACCCGTGAAATGGGGGTGACCGAGTACCCATCCTACCCCCCAAACGCCGGGGTAAGAATGACTGCACCCATGCAAAGCACGCAGTCAGCTCTCAGGAAATACGAACCAGTGTTATTCTCTTTCTTGATTTTTATTAACACATGCGGGGAGACCCAGAGAAAGAAGGGTGGAGATGGTGCGTGAGCAGAGGAGGCAGGGAGGGTTACAGAACTGCAGAGAGAGAGGCTCAGCCAGGGAGAGGAGCTGGGGACAGGGCACGGGGGACATCTGCAGAGAGATCGCGGTGCAGAGAGGCATTGGCGCCAGAGGGGGAGACGCACACAGACGGGGGAACAGCAGCGTGGACATGGTACCCGGAGGAGGGCCAGGCACTTGGGCAGAGCCCGTGAGGGAACAGGTCCAGAGCTCCATTCCCAGGAGCATCCCCCCCCCCCCCCCACCACCCAGGACAGAAGCGACAGTGAAAGACAAAGTGACGAGACTTTCCAAAGGTCCCCCAGCAGACTCCCTCTAGGCCCTGTGCTGAGCTGGCAGGGGGGGCTCTGGGGATGAATGGAGGCTAGAGTTCTCCCCCTCCCATCCCCCACCATGGGGGGGGGGACGACGGCTGTCTTCCCCAGGGAGGTGAGGTCACAGCCCCCCCATGGTGGGACATGACCTCATTGCTCAGGTAAGAGCTCTCTCTCCCTTGGTCTGTCATGGCCACCCCTTCCAGGGCCCCCCAGGGGCCCTTCCCAGCCCCCGTTCCCGCAGGGACCCAGGCCTCTGACCACTGGGTCTCCGCCCCTCAGGGGGCCTGTTTCCGGCTGAGTCAGCGTGGGGGGCCCAAGGCTGCGTCAGTGAGGGGAGAACTGACGTAGCCCCCCCCCCCCCCAGACCGGCGGGGCCAGCCAAGGTGACTCAGGCCACCAGCCTGGGGGATGGACTGGCCTGAGGGGATAGGGACTGGGCCTGGGGCCAGTCTGGGAGCAACAAAAGGGATCTCGAAATGGCAGCCCCTTCCACCTACAGGGAACCAGACCCCCCTCTTCAACCCAGGGGTCTGGACCCCCAGCCCCTCCTCCCTCAGACCCAGGAGTCCTTCCCCCAGCCCCTCCTCCCTCAGACCCAGGAGTCCAGGCCCCCAGCCC